ATTTGATGAAAGGCCGATGCCAAATTTTTTAGTTTCTTGAAGTAATTGAAGTGATTCAAGGCCGATTGCCATTGTTGAAGTGTATATGTGATTCTTGCTTCTCTGTGAGTGTATAGTGATTGTTTTGCTAGTTGGACATCAGATCTGCAAGTTTTGTTCATCTGGAATTATTCACCGACTCGATTTCTATCTGGGTTTGTTCTGGGTATTTTTCTTTCTTGCATCGATATTGTTTGATTTCTTCCGTCTCTTTTCATACTATGGCTAATCAAGTGCGGATTGAGAATTTGCTGGGTATGCTCACTATTAAACTGAATGATGATAATTTCATTAAATGGAGCTACCAATTTGGATCGGTTCTTCGTGGTTATGATTTCTTTGATCATTTTACTGGTGATTCTGTGTGCCCTCCCAAATTTGTTATTACTTCTGAATTAGGAGTTACCACTGAGATCAATGCTGCTTATAAAGACTGGGTTAAGATTGATATGGCACTGTTAAGTTTGTTACTTGCTACACTCAGTGATGATGCTATCGAATATGTGGTAGGATGTAAGACTTCTCATGAGGCATGGACTGCTTTACAGGATAGATATATGTCTGTGTCTAAAGCTAGTGTAAACCATCTCAAAGCAGAGTTACATACTATGCAGAAAGGGGGAGATACTATTGATAAATATCTGTTGAGGTTAAAGACTATTAAAGATCAATTACAGGCTGCTGGAGAGAAAGTATCAGACAATGATCTTGTCATTGCTGCACTCACTGGGTTACCTTCTGATTACGATATGATTCGAACTGTAATTCTGGCTCAAGACTCAGCAATTACACTTAAAGAGTTTCGGGCTCAATTAATTGGTGCAGAGAAGACCATTGAAACCAGAATGCAGTCTTTGGTCCAAAGTATGTCTGCCATGTATGTCAATGCTCAAGGTTCTAATGGTTCTAATGGGGGGTCTTCCAATCAGTACCCTGTCTCTTCCCATTCATCTGGTAGTTCTGGCAGTTCATCCTCAGGTCCAGCTTATCCTGGTAATCAGTTTCAGTCAAGTGACTACTCCGGTAGTAATATGTCTGGCAGATCATTCAATGGTAACACTTATCGGCCAAGAGGAAATGGAGGCTTTAGGCAGAAATTTAATGGTTCGAGATCTGGCAACTCTTGGCAGCAGTGGTCAGGAAATACATTCAATCGATTTGAGCCTATTCCTGAGTGTCAGATCTGCTCGAGAAAGGGTCATGTAGCAGTTACATGTCGTTTCAGGAATGATAATGGTGTAAATGTGCACGAATGTCAGATCTGTGGTAAACGGGGTCATATTGCCTTGAATTGTAGGCATCGGAGCAATTATGCCTATCAAGGTGCTCAGCCATCTCCTTCCTTATCTGCTAATGTTGCTTATCAAGGGGTTTCTATGTTTCCTCGTGGTGTTGATATGGGCATGGTTTCTCCTCCGTCCCAGTTTGTCAACCATACTCAATTTCCCCAGTTTTTGAATGTTCATCAGTCTCCTTCGTTCATTTCTCCATCTGTGCCATCCTCTTCTGCTGGTTTTCAAGCTATGAATGCTCAAGCTCCTGCACCTTCTTCCCATGGAGATTCTTGGATCCTTGATACTGGGGCTTCTCATCACATGACCCCAGATTTAACAGTTCTTGCTCATTCTACACCCTATGAAGGCACTGAGAAGATCATAGTTGGTAATGGTGAAGGTTTGGATGTACAACATATTGGTCATGGCACTCTACCGTCTTCATCCCATATTTTACATCTTAAGAATGTCTTGCATGTGCCAATGTTAAATGTTAATCTCTTATCTGTTAAGCAACTATGCAGAGACAATCATAGTTGGTTCATATGCGATGACATTCGATTTTTTGTACAGGACAAGGCAACAGGGGCAATCCTCCATCAAGGCCAGAGTAGCACTAATGAGTTGTTCAGAGTCCCTGTGCATATTTTTCCAACACTGTTTCAGAAAGGTGCAATTTCTTCTGCCTATTTGGGACATAAAGTGCAGTCTTCTTTGTGGCATCAGCGTTGTGGTCATCCTTCAAATGTCATCTTAGCCACTATGCTTAGGAACTCTAATGTTGTTTGTTCTTCTGATCCCATTAGTACAGTTTGCTCTCATTGTTTTGCTGGAAAGATGAGTAGACTTCCATTTTCTGATAGGGTTGATACTATAGATATACCTTTTCATAAGATTCATAGTGATGTATGGGGGCCTTCTCCAGTTGTATCAGTTGAGGGGTTCCGCTATTATGTGTCGTTTATAGATGAAGCTACTAGATTTGTATGGATTTTTCCTATAATGAATAAATCAGAGGTTTTCAGTTCATTTGTCAAATTTTGTGCTTATGTTGAGAACCAGTTTCAGTCCAGGATTAAACTGTTTCAATCTGATGGTGGTGGAGAGTTTCTCAACAATGCATTTAAGAATTTTTTGGCTACGCGTGGTATTGTACATCAGGTTTCATGTCCCTACACACCTCAGCAGAATGGTATTGCTGAGAGGAAGCATAGACATCTGCTTGAGACAGCAATAACATTGTTATCTGTTGCTCAGTTACCCCATAAGTTCTGGTCATATGCTGTAGCACATGCTGCATTTCTGATTAATCGGATGCCTTGCAAGAATCTTCATATGGATTCCCCTTTTGGAAAATTGTTTGGTAAGCAACCTGACCTGGTTAATTTGAAGGTGTTTGGTTCTGCTATCTATCCATATCTTAGACCCTATAATACTACAAAACTGCAATCCAGATCCACTCAGTGTGTGTTCTTGGGATATCCTCAAGGGTATAAAGGTGCTATTTGTTATAATATGGTCACTGGGAAAGTTCTTATTTCTCGCCATGTTTATCATGATGAGACTGTGTTTCCTTACAAGACTGAAGTCACTGCAGCTACTGGGCCTATTTCTTCTTCTGGTTCCACTGGTCGGGTGAAACCTATTTTTGTTCAGTTGTCGTTTCCAATGGGACAGCATGTTCATGATAGTCATCCTCCTGATTTTCAGATTGTTTCAGCTTCACCACGTCTCAGATCTGGTTCTTCAGGTTCCTTGGAAAATGCACAGGGTTCTGTCTCTCCTGCTACTCTGTCCAGTCCTCCTTCTCTGTTGTCTGTCCTTCCACCCCAACAGTCACAGGTGGAGTACCCTATTATTACCTCCTCCCCTTCTCCTCTGACAGAGAATGTGTCTCTATCCCAAGGTATTCAAACCAGGTTGAGAACAGGTGCCATAACCAGAAAGGATTATTCTGCTTTGACTGCTACCTTTCCAGAAGTGTCATCCTTGACACTTGCAGATAATGCTCATTTCTCAGGAGGTTTCACGTTTCTTGCTGACATTGTGGATGTTTCTGAACCATCCAGTTTTAAGCAAGCCTCTCATATCCCTCAATGGCAGTTGGCTATGCAAGAAGAGTTTGATGCTCTTCAGTCCCAAGGCACGTGGACTCTAGTTCCTAACTCTTGTGATAAGCATGTGATTGGCAGCAAGTGGGTGTATAAAATAAAACGTAATAGTGATGGAGCTATATCACGTTATAAAGCCCGGCTGGTGGCTCAAGGTTTTAACCAAGAGAAGGGGCTGGATTATACCGAAACGTTTAGTCCAGTTGTTCGTCATACTACAGTGCGTTTGGTTTTAGCCTTGGCTGCCACTCATCACTGGGAACTTCGCCAACTCGATGTGAAGAATGCATTTCTTCATGGAGACTTGCAGGAAGAAGTCTATATGAAGCAACCTCAAGGCTTTGTTCATCCTCAATTTCCTACGCATGTTTGCAAATTGGTTAAGTCTCTTTATGGCTTAAAGCAAGCTCCCCGAGCTTGGAATGATAAAATCACTAGTTATCTGCAAGCAATTGGTTTTGAAGCTTCTCTGTCCGATTCTAGCTTATTTGTTCACACTGTTGGGACTGATGTTGTTATTCTGTTACTGTATGTCGACGATATTATCATTACAGGGTCTAACTCTCAATTGATTCAGTCTGTGATCACCAATCTTAATGCTGTTTTTGATCTGAAGGATTTGGGCAGATTGTCTTATTTTCTCGGGCTTCAGATTACCTATAATCCTAATGGTGATCTGTTTATTAATCAAGCCAAATACACTAAAGAGTTGATTCACAAGGCTGGTATGGATGACTGTAAACCTTGCTCCACACCCTGCAAGCCTCATAATCAAGTGTTGTCTACTGAAGGTGTCTTATTATCAGATCCTACCTTATATCGTAGCTTGGTGGGCGCCTTACAATATCTCACCTTTACCCGTCCTGATATTGCATTTGCAGTGAATAATGTGTGTCAATATATGCATGCTCCCACTGACATTCATCTTGCTATGGTTAAACGAATCATCCGTTTCCTCCAAGGTACTCTTCAATGTGGCTTAACATATACTTCTGGAGGTTCTCTTACAGTTACTGCCTATAGTGATTCCGATTGGGCTGCTGATTTGAATACTCGCCGGTCTATCACTGGGTATGTTGTTTATCTTGGGCAGAATCCTGTCTCCTGGCAATCTAAGAAACAGTCCTCAGTTTCCCGTAGTTCCACGGAGGCTGAATATCGTGCCCTTGCCAATACCACTGCTGATATTGCTTGGATTCGGCTTATTCTTAAGGATTTACATGTCTTTGTGCCTTCTTCCCCTATGCTCTATTGTGATAATCAATCCGCAATAGCATTGAGTTTAAATCCGGTTCAACACTCACGGATTAAGCACTTGGAGACAGATTTTCATTTTGTCCGTGAACGGGTTCAAAAGGGCGATTTGTCAGTGGAGTATTTGTGTACTAAGGATCAGATTGCTGATGTGTTGACAAAGGGATTACATGGACCCGATTTTCTGCGCCATTGTTTCAATCTTAAGCTTGGGTACCCCAGCAAAGATTGAGGGGGGGTATTGGAGTATATAGGACTAGTACTACACGTGAGAAACATGTGCATGTATGGCTTACTAGATAAGATAGTATAAATAGCTTTTCCTTCATTAATATTTTAGTATGTTGTAATATCAGAAATATTAAGTGAAACATAAAGAGAGTTTTCCCTTTTTGGCTTCTTCTTCAAGCTTCCTCTTCCAGTATCTTTCTTGATTTCTATGGAGTTCATCTCTGTTGTTAATAAAAAGGACAAATAAATTTTAATTTTAGTACGAATACAAAGTGCATTGATCATCATATTTCTTCGATGGAAACTTTTCCTCTTGTTCTTGAGTCGTCCATCGCCACCAAATAGCCAACAATACAAAACCTGTTAAATTTTACGGACATACATATCCCGAATAGAAAGGACTAACTACATGCTGTCCCAATTTATTGCCATGAACATTGAACCAGCTCGAAAGCTTTATAAAAATTGTTAGCACGGAGGCATTCCTTGTGGCGGAGGTAAAATTTGCGCTCCTAGGCCCTTTCCATTTTTCACTATGAATGTCACGTCCATGCCCCATGACATATGCCGATCGATATGACAGTGCATAAACCAAACGCCTACACACAACGACAAGAACAATTTATCATGTGATCTAATCATTAATTAATATAACTAATTAGGGGTGATTAACTAAGAACTTGTATGGATGTGCTTTTAAAATGGTTGAAAGCGCTTTTAGAGAAAATGTTTTTGGTTTCCAAAAGCACTTTAAGTGCTTTCTGCAAGAAGTACAAGTTATGTGCTTCTTTCAGGAAGCAGTTTAAGTGTTTTTCCAGGATTTACTTGCATTTTTACTAAGGATTGGTTCCAAAAATATTTTCAACAAAAGCGCTTTCAGTTATTTAAAAAAAAACACATCCAAATGAGCCCTAAAATTGGAAACTGAATACTCAAATGGTAATTATTAAACGGCCCCTTAGATAATACATTTACTATAGATGACGAACGTCTTTATTAGTTTCGTACCAGGATTGTATGCCTTGAATCTAATGGTAGTCCAACCATTTACAGGGACAGCAATGGTGTTCTGAAGAGGAGGATCGACAAGATTATACGTCAAAGGGTCCTTGTCCTTGTCAAAATTCCCAAACCCCCATCCCACAACGTAGAAACTGAATCCATGGAGATGCATCGGATGGTCATCTCCTGCCACTATATTTGTCCCCTGAAACACAATCTCCACCGTTGAGTTGTACTCCAGTATCTTCACCTCTGTTGCTCGCTTCGTCGGGAGTAGGTACAACGGCAAGTCCTGAGCTGTAAAATTAAATAACAATGGCGGGAAATTTGGAAAGCGAGTTCCAAATACCCCATTGAAATGGTAATAGTAAGCTTGCAATATGTCAATGGTGGGGTTGACAAAGCTAATGTTGTTGACACTGGCGGCAAAACGAGTCCCATTAGGCCCAGCACATGAATTATTCGGGCAGGGTAGTAAGTTGACGGAGATTGTAAAGAACAAATGAGTTGTTATCTTGCGTGGCACGTCAACGGGGTGGTTTTTATCAGCCAAGCTTTTGAGTTTACTAGTAAAGTGAACCGATGCGTTGGTGTTGTTATGGGAAGGAATATTAGGCAAAGAAGTAGGAGATGAATTAAAATTTCCGTGGTATTGGAGTATGGCAGTGGCGGTAGTGTTTTCGTAGGGAACCCCAGCCCCGCCAACGTAGGCTTTAGCAGCAATGTAGTAGTTGTTGGGGATTTGGTCGGCATTTAACAAGAGGTCAATGGTTTGACCGGGAGATATGGTCACATAATCTGTTGAAAATGGCTTGGTGTAGCTAGCATCTGAGCCTACAACTATGACGTTGTGATTGGCAATGGCGAAAAACAACATCACTTGCACGGCGGAGTTGATTAGTCTGAGCAGGTAGGTTTTGCCGGAATCAACTTTGAGCTTAAATGTGTCTGGTTTTGAGCAAGGATAGAGATCGCCGGGTTGACCATTGATGAGGAAAGCATTTGAAGTATTAGCGTCTCCTCCGCTTTGAATGGTTTCATTGTAAAGTTGTCCGATATCTTCCTTCCACCACTCTCCTAGAATTTTCAAATCAACAATTTGCAGAAAAGTTAGGATCGTAATTTGGAAATGTTTATATAGAAATCACTATGCTCATAAGGTCAGAAATCTTTTCAATAGAACACAGTGAAATTTTTAATGAAAATGCAAGTAGAAAATGCCCCAAAAAACCTTTTAACTTTAGCTGTCACGAGCGTTTTTAGTTATTTGAAAGCGCTTTAAGCTATTCTATAAGTGCTTTATGGAACTGACGTTTGAATTGATTTGCATACCCAAGATGATTGGAAATTCAGCGTGAGGTTTGGGAAAAGGGTAAGTGGCTCCCTTCTTGGGGTATATGACTATAGCACCGTGGACGGTGGCTCGATCCCACTCGATGTGGGCATGCCACCATAGAGTCCCTTCCTCTGAGGAAAATATAATGGTTTGGGTAAACTTGGCTCCTGGTTGGATAGGACATTGCGTGATGTAATCAGGACCGTCTGACCATGGATTCCTCAGTTGCTTAACTCCATGCCTAAAATAGATGGTTCAGAATTGTAAAATCATATCATGAATTTATGTAAAAACCGGATGAGATTACATGCACTATATAAAGTTGATTAATTACCAGTGGATGGTAATGTTACGATTGCCCTTGTTATAGATATCCACTACGATAGTATCTCCAGCATGAACATACAACGTTGGTCCGGGAAACTGACCGTTTACAGTCAAGATGTTCTTTGTGCTACACAGTCGTTTGTATGGAGTTTCTTCCACCTAAAATTGATTTTTACAAACAAACAGAAGCTATTCATTAATATCCTTCAAATCACAGATATATGTATATGTACGCATTATAAGTTAACATATTATAGTCGGAAAATGGAAGGGGATTATTAAAAAAATCAATTCAATCATCAACTATTACGTCATATGGTCTACAAAATAAATAAATTGTCTCTCATGCAATTCATACATATCCATCAGAACTTAGAACTGAACTGGAGTTCATTACCACAAAAGCGTAGCGAGGAGGCGAAGCTTGGCAATGGAAGATGCCAACAGTAGATAATAACAAGCCGATTACAAGTTTCAAGCTAATTAAAATCTTCATGCTGATCGACGACGACATTGATTATTCCTTTCCTATGTCTTTAACAGATGTAGTTCGCATGATGAGTTGAGGATGGTATACACACACACATATTATATATAAGAGATAAAAGCACAGGAGCCTATTGTACGTAATCGAAATTTAAAGTAATTTATTGGTGAAGGTTAAAGCTAAAAGTGGATGCTATGCTAACCACGTTCTAAAAATCTCTGCCTAGGCGCTAGGCGGCTGACCACCATCCTAATTTATTCCTTAGAGTTTGAAAATTAAGAAATGATGCTACCTACTTAGGCATCCGCTTAATCCGTCTAGACACGGGCCTAGACCACCTATACCTATCTAGGCATCCGCATAGGTCGTAGCTCTCGCTTAAACTGAAAATCGATAACTTTCATTTTTCATTTCATTTTGTTTAATAAATGTAAGAGACTTGTTAAATATGATGAAGAATCATTATACACTTGTTCCCCATATTTTTATATGTTCTAAAACTGTATAATTTATATGTCATTTTATTTTACAATTTCTGTATTACAATACAATTATTCATGTTTTTAAGTATAAATAGACACTTATTAATACAAGACATAATGAATTCAATTAAATCTGCTTAGTCTGACTAGGCCTCAACCCGCCGTTCGACTAGTACCTAGCCTCTTTTAAAACCTTAATGCTGAGTAAGAAGTGTTCATAAAACATTATGCTTAATGTCGCCACTAATTTGGTATCCAAATATTCAGAGGGAGGGTGAAAGGGTCTAAAACTAAGAAAGTAGCTAGCACTCCTCCTTCCTCCTCCCTCAATCCTTCTCACGCCGGCATGCGTGAATCGCGATTACTAAGTAATTAATACTATAATTATTTTTGTAGCTTTTTTCAACCTTTCTATTTTTTAGGTCAGCTTTCACCTAATTAATACAGTCTAATCAGAATTCCTTCATTTCCAATCTAAAGTAATTGAACTCAACTAAAAGAAAAAATGAACGTTTTGTTGGCCGTCGGTAGCTAGTCAGCTTCCATGCCACCTTACAAAGCCCAAAAGGTGTTTCCTTTATTCCTCACGCCCACCCCCACCCCCACCCCACAATAATTTTTCGTTTCATGCCGTCACAGATTTTTTGGTGCCGTCACAGATCTTTTCGTTTCATGCCTGTCGCAGACAATTTACCTTGCTTCTACTTTTATATTTCTGGTGCTTAGAGCTTCAGGAAATTAACTTGCATAATTAACACTCAATGAAGATCTTATATGTCCAAATTAAACCTGATAACGAAATTTGAGGAATTAACACAACACGCAGATAGGATTTTGCCTCTTTCATCTGTTCAGTTAATTGCGATGTGAGCTTTGGGATCAACCCAAGCAAAAATAGTAACAAGGGAAGGTCAATTGTTGTGCGTATGGAGTTAGGTAATGAATCAACCAAACACAATGCCCACTTCAAGGCTTCTACTCCAATGGTTATGAACTTATGAGAGATCAAAGATCAATAAGGTCGAAGGACACCCGACATTATGCAATGGAGGAGAGATTTTATTACGTGAATTTACGAAAATGCCATTCGAGGTAAATACATTGACTTTTGTTGACTACCTTGTTGTGTCATGTAAGATCCATTTTCTTGGCGTATCCTCATAGTACTCGTCACTACGAATGTGTGGGCACAAACAGAACGTAATTTGGAGTTATAGCGAAGAAATTATAAACGAATAAAGTTGAGGGCAAAATGGTCATATGATCATTTTCTGGAAGGCTCCAGATTGTTGGAGCAAAAATCAAGGAAGCCATATGTGTGGCTGTGATGGAAAAGTAAGAAGAGAAAGAAGAGAGATGGATGATGGAGAGAAGGGTAAAAGGAGAGAAAGGAGGGGAGAATTGCCTAATCGGGGAAAGAGAGAGAAAAAAGAGTGAACCAATGAGGATGAGAAGAAAGGAGGGGAAATGAGGGAAGATAGAATGAGGGGAACCCGGTCCTTTTCCTTTGACCCATTTGCCCATTGTGACCTGGTTCCCTAAACAGGTTCTTGGCGCCATTCTTCGACATGATTTCGTCAGTTTTTATGGCGATTCGCAGCCATCCACCACCAGAAATCAATAGAGACCTCCCATCTTCATTTCTCCATCAAACCCAAGTAGTTTTGAGCATTATTTCACAACGATCACCCCCGTCGGCTTCGAGGACACCACAGCGGCGATCGGCCATTTCTACAACCACCACTGTCGACCACCACCATCAATCAAATCCCCTTGAGGTCAGGAACAAAGCCCATGCATTGGTTAGGGCGTCAGAGTTCGTTTGGACAGCAAATCAAGATCACCCATTTCTAGGGTTTCCAGCGGATCGAGGGTGATTTGAGAGGTTTCCTGCGCAAATTGGACTTCGGTCCAGGTATGAAAGTTGTTCTTCTCATTAAGATTTTCTTTCCTATGAAATTTGGGAATTCTGGAGTTGTTCGATTTTCCGGCAAGTCGGGGCGGCCGGCCGCCGCCTCATGGCGGTTCGTGCGGCGGCGCGTGGCGAAATCCCAAGGTCCCTCCTTAGGTTTTTCGATGTGTTGGATCCGAATCTGCCGTCCGTTTTTCCAAATTTATCGTTTAGGTATAATTTTACTAAAAGGTCTTTAATTATGTTTAGGCGCATTGGCGGGAAGTGACGTCATCCTCGCTAGTTCAAGCAGATCTCGAGCAATAAAATCTATGAGTGGACCCCTTCTTAACTTATATGTTTTCATAAACATTAGCCTAGCATGCATCTCATGTTTCATGATTTGAGTATGTTTTATATTATGCTTTATGAATTCCTATAACTACGGTTTATGAAATATTTATGATTTATCGAAATTATGTTTTGACAAATAATTATAAATTATTGGATTTGCATGTATGAATTCCTATGGCTCTTGAGTATAATTTGGTTTTGGATTTACGAGTATGGTTTACCATGGATTATGAGATTTTGACCTTGTGAGCTCCGGATTTGATGTGAGACTCTTAAGGTATGTTTTCAGTACTTGTCTAGCGGGTTATCATACAACAGATCCACAAAGCAGGGGTATAGATGTCTTTGGCCATAGGACACAATGGATGAGTAGTGAGAGATTATGATTATACCCCCAACTTCACTAGCCCATGGCTAGTGTTGGTGTGTGATGTAATATATATATATGCCTCTTCTCTACGTAACTCAGAGATGTACAACTTCATCTCCGGGTGATGGACTCTATGTTTCTTTTCTGGCATAACCTAGAGATGTATAGCTTCACCTTTGGGTGATGGACCCACTGCATGTACATATAGATATGTTATATCCTCTTCTCCGGTGTAACCCGGAGATATACAGCTTCATCTTCGGGTGATGAACCGTGGTTTCTTCACCGACGTAACCCAGTGTCATACAGCTTCACCTTTGGTGATGGTTATGCCTTCGGGCCACTATGATACCCCTAGTTGAGTACATCATCAATGAGATTACAGATTTGCCTTCGGACAATGATATTTCCATGACTGAGCACTGGATTTTACATACTTGCTTTATAAATGGTTTTACATAGCATGCTTGGGCTTTTCATAAAACCTATACGTAGTATATATATATATGTTTTCAAAACAGGGGGTTAGTATGTTCCTAAATAAAATGGTTTTCCTATTATTAGTATTAATATAAACTTTGGTCCACTCACCCTTTCTGTTTTGTGCCCCCTCAAGAGTTAAAGTCGAGGCACACAATCCCAGCATCAGGACACTTCGGCATATGTATCCTCGAGTCTTCTCAGTGTAGGTATTATTCTCTTGTTTGTTCCTTTTCCTAATAATTCTTCCATATTATTCTTAGTAGTCGTATGCTCTGAACACGTTCCAGCAATGGCATATTTCATTCTAATTGCATATATTTTATTTGGATGCATGTTTAAAATGGTTTCGTCACCCTCTGGTGTTGGCCAGCACATGCCTACCCTAATATTTGGGGATATCGGAGTTGGGGCGTGTCAGAGATTCTCTCTTGCAACTATTTCATAATTCTAATAACGTCACCCAATTAATAAATATCTTCCACTTGTTTAAAAAGGGAACCACAGATCCAATGAAAACTTCTCACATCGTATAATGGTGAAAAGAGAGAACAATAGTTGGATCTTGCATATTAAGGGATTTTAATCACTTTCTTTTTTGGTAACATAAGGGGGTGGATCACCTCAAAAACTAGCTCAAAGAGTTATTACATATAATTCGAGTTCTAGGGACTCCCATCATATCATCAAATAACTGAGTTCCAATACAGTCAGAAGGATTCTCAAAAAAAAAAAAAGTACCCAAGATCCATATTATAGCTCCAAGTGACAATGCCATATGTCACCATGTTCTTCTTCAATGATGTTGTCAGTCAATGATGTTGGCAAGAGATGAAAGCTGGTATCAATCATATTATTAATTAAATTAACACTTGAGGCAAATCCATCTTCACGCGTAATTTTGAATGCTCTTGTCAACTGCTAGTAACTGTTAGTTCCCGTCCAAAATATGGCCCCCAAATTTCATCATCAACCACCTGTTCGTAAGGTCCTTCTGAATCCGCAATTCGGAAACTTGTTAGCTAACCATGAACGTTAAATACTGAACCTGCTAATTGCAATCTTGCAGCTTAAACACCAAAAATACTACTTATATAATACTCAAATCTTCCTATATGTCCTGCGTACGAAGAACTGCTTACAGCTAGACTTAGAACATAAGATGCAAAGGAAACTAATCGTCCTAAATCCTAATATGTCGATTCCAAGAGAATGTACATAAGATGCAACTGAACTCAGCAGGGAAATCGAATTGATTTACATGATAAAAAGATTACCGACTACTGAAGAAAATAAAATTGGCCATCCATATTGCTTAACGTTTCACAAATTGATGAAACTTAGAACGCTTAATAAAAACCAGACATCGATTCACTTTCAAAATCTCAGTTTATCAAAGATTGAAGAACTGTTACATCATTTTCCAAATCCCTACTCATTATCCTTATAAGCTGAGCTCATCCATAAAGAATATCTTGCTATAG